AAAAATTGGAAATTGATGGTCAAACATACTAACTTATATGATATATCTGTTAATATCTAACAAGACAGTTTTATTTATGGAAGATTTGTTTTTAGAGGAAAACGGTCAATCATGTAAGCCTTCCATGATATTGATCTTTTACGCTCAGGTTTCCTCACAGGTTTCAGTTTTTCAAACTTCCCTCTACTAATTTTATTTTTCCAGTGCCTTGTGAAATTTGACTTCTTTTCTATGTATTTTGTGGACAAGTGATTCCTTTAGGTTTCTTTTAGCTTATCATATAAAGTTCTGTTAACACTGGTATTTTCTAAGCCAAAGACAAGGTCCCACCTTAGTAGGTAGCCCGATATTTTATGGCGTAAATTAGGTTGAACACTCCTTTCAAAATTTAAATGTTCATAAAAATTCTATATTGAAATATCAATCCTGTAATGTATTCTTCTGATTCACCCAATTATATGGCTACTCTACGTTAGGAAATTTTATTTCCTAATATAATTGTGGGCCACATATTTAATTATCAATCATGTCATGCTATTTAATTAAGTGGCCAATGTAGAAAAGTCCAATTAGATTCTTAATTAGGTATGGACTAAATGGGTAGATAATCAATACTGATACAATTAGGTTTAATGGGTGCCTAATGGGACAATATATAAAGAATCTTTATGCTATGGTCTCCAATACGTCAAATCATTCAGCCGTTTTCTCTATTTTCTATCTAGAGAGAACACCTCATTCAAGACTGGTGATTTGACTGAGGAAGACGATAGCCCCAAGAACGTATTCAAGTGGTGGTTTCTGATGAAGATTAAGATTGTACCAATGGAGACAAGTATTTGTTCTCGTCTATTTTTTTGTAATTTAGTGTGATAATTCCTGAATTTGTGGGTATGATGTTAAAACCATATTTATGGATTAAAGCTAACACGCTACCCATACAAAATCTTTTATTATTATTATTATTTTTAATTTAGCAAACAAATGCACAGGTGTGTGTATGTTCGAACTGAAGGGTGCATGCAGTTCTTGCATATATACTTCCAACAAACCTGATAGTACGTCTAATTTAATCTAGCTCTACAATTTATGATCCGTTCTCTCTCTCTCTCTCTCTCTCTTTTATGGTTCATTTTCTATTTTTTCTTCTTTTGTTATCTTTTTTATCTACCATATTCGATGTGATTTCCACAAGGACTTGTTGTTTAATCCATTCTGAATTATTTATCACATGGTAATACTTTTTCGTTTTGCTAGATTGAAGAAATTAACTTGGTGATGAACTTTGCAAAAGGAAACTTTAATATAGCAACTTGATGAATGTATTCCAAAATCTGGCGCAACATTCCCCCGTTTGAAGGAGAGCTTGTGAAGGAAAACTTGTCATTAAGTGTTTATCTCTAATTACTATAATTTTTTTTGAGCGGATAATTACCATTATTATTAAATCAGAAAATCACCAAAAGAAGAAAAGGAAAGAAAAGAATTATGCATGAAATTGCATTATTTTTTATGAAAAATAAACAATTATTTTTATAACGAAATGTTTTACTATTAATTACTTCATGTAGCAGTAGTACCTGGTTTTTCAATGAGCTTTTTTATTTCAAGAAATGGAAAACAATTATTATTTTGTGAATTCTTGCTATCCTTAATTTATTAAAAAGAATAGAAATTAAAATAATAGTATGAGCGCGTTTGATATCATTAGGCATATACTAAAAAGCAATATATATATATATATATATTATAATGACATTTTCTCTTGGTATGTCGTAATAATAAAAGGACAAATACCCAAAATACCCCCAGTATTTATAAAAGCCGATCCAAAATACCTTCTGAAGTAATTAAATTTTTGAAATATCAAGTTTACCATTCCCAATCTTTATTAAATACATTTTAAAACATTAATAAATCAGAATGTTAAATAAAATCAATTTTAAAAATAGAAAAGCTCTCAAAATAATTGAAGTATTTCTTTGATTGGAATATTTATCTGAGCATTTTTAAAATCTTTTATGTAATTTTTTAGTTAAATCATATCTAGAATAACATTTAATACGAATTAAGAACGATAAACATGATATTTTTAAAAATTTAGTTGCTTTAGGAGATGTTTTGGGTCTGTTTTTTTTTATAAACACATGGGTGTTTTTGGCATTATAGGGGTGAAAATTGTATTTTGAAAAAAACACAAGGGATGTTTTGCTTATTTTCTCATAATTAAAACAACAATATACTATAATCCTTTTGTATTTGTTAATTTAGAGGTCACGAGCCTGAGATCCACGCATTGCTGCGGAATGCAGTATTATATTATATGATAGTTGTATTTAAAATATATTTATATATATATACATGTATTATACAATATTGTATTATATGATAGATATAAAATTTGTACAAACATATTTATACAGACATATATAGTATTATTATTTATAATATTTATATATATACAGAATGTACAAAATAAAAAAAAAACGATGTTGTGGTCTCTGAGCATTTCATTTCTTTCAGCTGCAAGTATAAAAATGGGAAAAATGGTTGTAAATATAAGTGTTAAGAGAAATAAAGATGGTTAAATTATATAGTATGAAATAAATATTATAAAAATATTTATATTACCTTGTTCTTGGGCGTTTTGCAAATTGTCTTGTTGTTCTTGGTTCAGGATTGAAAAGATGGAATAATTTGTAGATATATTTTTAAATAAATTGATAATATTTGTTGTGTTGAATGTGGTTTACCTTGTGCCAGGTTTTTTTGGTGTTGGAGTGTGTGGATCAAATGTGGTTGGTATTGATAGCTGTGATGATGGTATTGCCTGTGGGCTGAAAGATGAAAAGATTTTTAAAATTGTGATTAATATAATATAAATGTTATTTATGTATAGTTGATAAAATATTTTAAAAACATTATTTACCTTTGTGGATCTTCTGTTCCTGTAGTTAACTGTTTTGGTGGCGATGATGGAACATGGATGTCTTCAAATATTTTGGAAATTAATGTGCTCATTTGGGTGCCTCGTTGTTGAAAGAAGACTTGGAAGATTTTTGATTGTCCTCAGATCTGATCGATAGCTGGTGGTATTATAAATGGATCGGTAAAGCCTTCGTCAATTGTTAGTGCAAAACATGGTTTTTTTATTAATGCCTGAGCGGTTCTGCCAAAGCGATAACTTCCATGTCTCCAGTATGATCTTCAATTTGGATTGTTAATCTGTACCTGTAACATACACACACACACACACATATATATATATATATTAAGGTTATTAATTTTTTGTTAAAGTAAATAAAGATATATAATAAATAAAAATGGTATGGTAATAAATTTAATTACCATGGAGATGGCGTTGACTTTATATGGCCATGATTGTCGCACCACCAACCTATTCTTGCCTGTTTTAATTGTCGATAACATCTGGGGCAAGAATTATAGAACCATCCTTGAGATGTTGAAAAGTTTACTATGGTCGCTCTTACAGTGAATTTTCCACCCTGCATAAAAGATAGAATATTGTGGTTTTAAATTGTTTACTAAGTATGATAAGTCTTGTTCCATTGCATAGTCCAATAGATTGATTTAGGTTTCTTAGAAGCATTATTGGAGTTCTGAGTTTAAGATTTAGTTCATGTGGTGGTAAACTGTTGAAATTTAAATTGTGTAAAAATTCTTGAGGATATAAGAGATTTAGTTCTTCTATGTTTTCTGATGAAGGCAGTATTGTATCATAACTATAATAAGTTTTTACCTCATTAGGTTCTAAGGATAATATATAATTATTTATATCATCAGCAGTTTTATTTTTCGGTGTTTCAATTGCGCGCTGTTTTAGGTACTCAATATTATTAAAATTGTTGTTGAAATTATCGTATATTAATGTTGTCATTTTGTCAATTGGATCTAGGTCAAAGTCAACAAAGTATTTTTCTGGTATTTTTATCCATGTAATATCTTCATTTTCTAAATCAATCTTTTATTCCTTCAGCAGTACCATTTCCTATGTCCAATGTCCATTTTGAAAAATTTTCAATCTCCTTTTTTTCTTCTAATGTTGTATTAAAATGTTTTAATCGCATATTTTCTGTTAATGTTAAAACCTGAAAGTGTGGCCATAAATAAGAATTATTTATGCATGCATCTATTATGTGTTTTTTTGTTCCTGTAGGTAAAATGTGTAGGATTTGTCGAAAATCACCTCCTAGAATAACTGTCATTCCACCAAATGGTTGGTCAAAATTGTTTCATAAATCTTGGAGTGTTTTATCTAATGCTTCAAAACAATATTTATTAGTCATAGGTGCTTCATCTCATAAAATTAATGATGCTTTTCAATTAAATGTGCTAATTGAGTTCCCTTTTTTATATGACATGTTGAAAATTTATCTATTGATAGTGGTATTCGAAATCTAGAATGTGTTTCTTCCTTTCCTTTAGGTAATAATAATGATGCTATTCCTGAAGATGCAACAGCAAGAATTATTTCATTATTAGATCTAATTTTTGTTATAATTGTATTCCACAAATATGTTTTTCCAGTCCCTCCATGGCCATAAATAAAAAATAAGTTGTTTTGTTTATCAATAACAGATTCTAAAATTTTATGGTAAATAATTCGTTGTTCGTTGTTTAAATTTTCTACTAATAAAGAATTTTCTATTTTTAATTTATTTATATCATAATTAAGTTCTTCTCTTAAAAGTTTATTGTTTTAATCATTTATTAGTGAACCAGTAGGAATTGGTAGATTAAAATGAGCTAAAGTTGATGAGTTTAGATTTAATAATTTTTCTAGTTCATGTAATATAAAATTATATAATTCATTTTCTAGTATTTCAAAATATGGGTTGTTAAATTTTTTTTTAATTTTGTATAAGATATCATCAGTCATAAGTTTTTAATTTTTTTCAAGTAATTTCAGTGGGTTATTTACATTGCCAAATA